AAAATTTTAGACACAAATGCATGCGTTGAGGTCTTGGCATAATGGCTGAGTTTTAAATGGATTGTTTAGTGCAATATTGGTAAAATAAAAGTAAATTTGCTTGGGGGCAAGCAAAGGCTAAGTGTGGGGTATTTTGATATGTGTATTTTTATATATATTTATGTATAACATATCTTAATATTTTAGCATTTATTATTATTATTTAGAACTAAAAAAACTTAATATGCTTTGAAATATTTAATTACAGTTAAAATGGGAGATGGAATGCAAAAGAAAGAGAATGGAGCTGAAAAGATGCAAAAAGGATATTGCTGGCAGATTGACCCCTCTTCAGTGTTTCGGGTATATCTGATGACTCATAAGTCCAATTGACGAGGTTCAAACTGTTCTGAAAACTAGACGAAATTTCCTACGACTTATGTGAGAGGGACTTTTGGCTAATTCGACACTTATCTTATCCAAAATCGGCCTTGAAGATGAAGCATAAAAGCTGGACGGAAATTCCCTCCAAGTTACTTATTCCCCAAGCTCCACTTATCTTATTTTATTTGCTTAATCCCTAAGCCACCATTAGTTTCCTTATTCAATACAACTCTAATATTCCATATAATTTCATATCCCTTCAACTATAAATACCCCATATCATTCCACCAATTTGAATATATGATATTCCACTTCGACTTGTGCAACAAGAAAACTTCATAGTTGCCGTTTTGAGGGTCTAGGAGGTGGCCGGAAGGCCGTTAAGCTAACGGGAGCAGAGATCTGAAGGATTGGAGAGCGGATACATGTCGGTAATCATATGGATTGCTAACGTGACCATGTTTAGCACTTCCTTATGGTACTTTTTGTATTTAGTTTCTGATTTGGGTGTAAAAACCTTTTACTTTGTGTTTATAATTGAATGAAGTTTTGATTCTTAGACTAATTGTTATGTTAAATAATTTATTTGTGTTTAATTTATCTTGCCAAGCTTGTTCAAAGATCCTCATGTGTTAATGATGATTATTTGCTGTTAATTGTTAAGTGAATTAAGTTGTATGAAAACCTGCTTGATTGCTTGTCTCTTATGATTTTGATGACCATTGAGATTATAAGACTAGAAATAACGAATGTGAAACTAGGATTAACTTGGGAATAAGTAAGTTAATGTGTGAGCCTTGTTTGATGACCATCAACAAGAGGTTAATTAAATGTTTAAATTAACTAAATTTACAAGTCTTGCTTGATACGAACTGAACACTAGGAAGCATGTTAGTTTAACCAATTGATCACTGATTGAATTGACTTGTTTGCTAAAGGATTAGTTATAGTGAACACGAATCTAATCATTTTAGGAATCGGTGAACATGAATAAATGAATCTGTGTATGCAATTGTTTATGTTTTTAAGGTGGAATTTGTCTAAACCAAAGTACCTGAAGAGATTTGTTTTTCCTGTTAGTTTATCGAGAATTGTTAATTAATTATTAGTTTGAGATTTATTAGACTATTTCTTTTATTCTTTTCGTGTGACCCGTAACCTATAATCAAATATATTAAATTAATCCACCGTTCCCTGTGATCGACACCCGACTTACCTAAGCTATACTGTAATCTGACTAGGTACACTGCCTATAAGTGCATAGTTAGTCTAAGTTTGTTAGGTTATAAATATTAAAATTAATGGGTACTTTCGTGCACATCAGTAAGCACGAAGCTTAGTGAGTTCCCCACGCTACCACATACCATACATAACCACATACTACACATACTGGGCCACGCCCTCCCTCTTGGGCCTCGCCCGCTTCAACGGCCCCGCCGCACCAGGCCCCGCCTGGCTTCGAGCCCCGCTCGGATACATATCTGTTTTACTTAGGCCTCGCCTGTCACAGGGCCTCACCCGCCAACAAATAATAACACATAAACATTTCACAACACATAACTAACACATGCAACTGGTTCTATCCTAAGGCCTCGCCTACCCTGGGCCTCGCCCATGTCCTGCTACTGATGAGTCATGGGACCCCGTCCACGCTCCTAATGATAGTGAGGTACGGGCCTAGCCCACTCTCACTCCTATTCTAGTTTGGGCCTCCCCCCTATTCTGCTACTAATGAGATATGGAACCCCATCCACACTCTGCTATTGGTGAGATACGGGACCTCGCCCACACTCACCTCCCTACCAGGCACCTACATGTATCACACAGACAACAAGTATAAACTATCATATAAACAATTCTTTGGGCACCCGCCCGCTATTACTGGTCCTCGTCCTGAAAATCATACTAGCATACTGTGCCTATGGCTAACCCCCGGGTCTTCTACTCATAACTACATGGGCCGGCATTGTGGCCTTAGACCCATTCACACAAAAGGGAAACTCGCCTGCACTGGCTGAACTTGTTGATGATCTCACTAGCTGCTGCCCGACAACTCCTGGAACTCCTGCTCCTCCTTGCTCCTCGAACTATCAATATCAATGCAACATTGAGTCTAACTGTCCCCCGAAAGATAACCAAGTCAACCATGGTCCAAGGTCAAAGTCCTGGTCAAAGTCAACCTTCCAGGCCAACTCTACTCGCCGAGTCACCCTACTGACTCGCCGAGTTCAAAATGATTAGATTCCTTCCATTCGCGACTCGACTCGCCGAGTCAGTCCATGACTCGCCGAGTCTACCGATTTCTGAGTCCTGACATGTCCAACTCAGTGAGTCTCCACCCGACTCGCTGATTCGAGTCTCAACTCGAAGGGTTTGGGGTTTCGCGACCTGACTCGCCGAGTCCAAGAACAGACTCGCCGAGTACAAGGCAATCTTCATACGATTCGACGATTTGTTCATCCCACTCGTCGAGTTTCTCCACAACTTCATGCTACTCGCCGAGTCCACTCAAAGGACTCGCCGAGTCCCTTCAGATATCCTTACATGCAGAGGACATTTGAGTCATGCATGAACTCCAAACTGTAGATCCACCCTTCCCAAGCCTTTTCCCCACGTAAAGTTGCAAACTTTACGTGTAGAGAAGGAGATCTAGGTAAAATATGCTACAAACTAGGGCTTAAGGCAAAAAGGCTTCATGATCCACTCAAGGGCTGATACTTTACGGAATTCTAGACCAAAATAAGCATGGATCTGAGGTAGCAACCTCAGATCTGAACCTCTAGCTCAAAGGTTACTCTTAAGCCAAGAATGCTCAAAACACACACAAAGATCTAGGTGCAAATGAGGGGAGATAGCAGCTTGTTACCTCCAAGATGAACACCACTGAAGTAGATCTCGGATCTACATCTCTTCCTTGAAGCAACCTACTTGCCCTTCAAGTTCCTTTCCCCAAAGTTCCTTCCTCCAAGCTTTAACTCTCAAAATGATGGAAGCTCTCACGAAATCAAGGGTGCACTGGCTCTCTAGGGTGATATGGGGGCTGAGGGAGGGACATAACACCCTTTAAATAGGATACAACTCCCGGGATTAGGGTTTTCCTCGTTCAGACCAGACTCGCCGAGTCACCTTGGCCGACTCGCCGAGTCGGTTCCTTACTCCTCGACCCGGATCCCGCTCGGACTCGCCGAGTCCCTCCTTAGACTCGCCGAGTCTACCCTTAAATTATGGCTTTTCTTTCCTTTCTTGGCCTTCGAAACTTTGGGTGTTACACCATGTCTCTTCAGGAATCTTACACAACTATGAATGAGCTTCATCGTTCATTTTCTTCAACTCATCCATTGCATATTTAAAGTGATTTAATGTTGTTGCACTACCACATTCCCAAACCAAGTCACTCAACTCTTTTCCTTTCCATTGTTTCTTCAAATTCTCTTGAATATGCCTCAAACAAAACCTATGTTCTGCATTGGGGAATACCTTTGCAACTGCTAGTATTATCCTTTTAACAAATGCAAATATAGTCAGTTTCATTTATAAAAATAGAAAGTAAGGTATACTATCATGAGAAATAATTAGGTAAAACATACCTTTTGTTTATCAAAAATGAAGGTAAATTTTGAATTTGCTCCCAATTACAAGTCTTCTCCTAACAGTTCCATGAACGAGGTCCAAGAACTAGTTGTTTTAGCATCTGCCACTGCATATGCTACAGGGTATATTCCATTATTTGAGTCTAGACCCACAACCGTTAGTACCTTCCCAGGATATGGGCCTTTCAAGAATATACCATGAACTCCCAGGAAATCCCTTAACCCAACTTTGAATCCCAACTTCAATGCATCTAGACATACATATATTCTTCTAAAAGTTCTTGTAGTAGTCGACAAGCATGGTTCAGGATACACATCTATCCTAACAGTTGAACCAAGATTATTGTTTAACAGTTCCGAAACATAATCCCTCAAATACCCATATTGAAGTTGGTAGTCCCTACTAATCACACGTTCAACCATTTGCTTTGCCTTACCAACCTTTTGAACTAACATACCAAGCTCCAACTTCTTACACAACTCCTCGTGTAAAGCTTTGATTGGAATTTTAGGGTTACTCTGAATTTGTGGAACAATTAAGTTTGCTAAATATTTGGAAGTACAAGCTTTAACTGATCTTGTATGCAAACATTTATGGATATCGTGTACTGTTTTCACCAACCAATCGTTATTCTCATCTGGCCTCGAGATTTGGACTGCCCAAGGACATTTTCCTTTTTTACTAATCACATTTTTGCCCTTGCACTTTACCTTACTTCTAGTTGATGGACCACCACATTCAACTGTTTCAGTAGATTGTCCCTTGCACTTTACCTTACTTCTAGTTGACGACCCACCACATTGAACTGTTTCAGTAGATTGGCCCACAACACCTCCACATTTGACCATTATCCCGATTTTATCATTTTTTGCTAAGTATAGGGACCTCCTTGTATTTACAACATGTGAATGCATGTAGTCCACAACTTCCTTCTTTGTTTTGAAACGCTACCCCGCCCTATATGGTTTTAAATGGATCTCCCCATGTGAACATGGAGTTAACCTATTCAACTCCTTAAGCATTTTTGTCCTTTCATCTTCATAAAATCATGCATACTGATAATCATCACGTTGAATAACTTCCAACTCTTCATCAACTATGTCATTCCCTATACTTACGGTTTGCTTGTTTAAAATTCCATGTTCATCTACATCCACGACACTATGGAATTCACTCATGTCTACATCCACATCAAATTGCAAGTTAGACTCATGTACAATGTAGTCACTATCATCAGAATCATCTCCACTATAATCAGAACCATCTCCATTCTAACTATAGAAAGCATCTTCACTATCATCACTTACCATGCCCTCTAGAATTTCCATTTCTACTTGATTGTCTTCACCATTTGGTACACTGTACTCAACATCAAAGTCAACATAAGTTGAATAATCATCTGTAAATGCTTCAAATTCATCGAGTCTTACACTTTGTTGTTCATTAATATCTTCACAAATTGGTTCCTCTGCAAGATTGCCTAAATTACCCTTACACACTTCTTCTATGTGGCCCATGATCACTCCTTCATTCACATCAATGACATTACTTTGTTGGCTAACTTGAGACATAACATATGGAACAATAGTCTTTGAATGATCCTGACTTTCATCCATATCTATTACCTGTAACTGGTCAACAACATGGTTAGTAGGGTGGTCTAACTCAAGCTTTTTACTACACGATCCTACTTCTCTTCTACAAGGTTTTTTTCTATTAAGTTCCGGTGACACACTCTCAGGTTCCAGTTCCTCAATAACAACTTTGGAAGGAGACTTAAAATAACTAGCTACCCTAGTTTGACCAATTTCAATATAAACCTTTACAAGTCTGTGTTTAGGGGCATACGAAACCAATTTAAGAACATATTGGTCATTACCTAAAGGAAATAACCTGTAGTCTAAGGGAAATTCAGGGATACATAAATGGTAGTAAAGATTTTGTTCACCTTTGTACCCTAATTTTCGAACCATGTCGTCGAGTTCATGGACTAAAAATAAATCAGTGTCAACGTCATCTATGTATGATACAGTACCATCGACGTATTTCCTTCTAGGTGACTTGGTGAAGACACTACTATAGTGTATCTTCAACGTGAAATAGTTATCATATCCCTCTGCAAACACAAAAATAGAAAGGGTAAAGAAGATGATTTATCTTCACGAATACATTCAAGGAAAACAAAAACTGAAGTTTTTTTTATTTTTTTATTTTTTTATTTTTATGAAAAATCTTACCGTATCTCGATTGCAAGTCCTTCAAGCACGCATTTTTTTTCACGTAAACACCATATTGACAGAACCATTGTCCTTTAGTAATGTGTAAACCCTAAACCCCAATTTCGTTTCTTGGATGAGAGTGATCAATTGAAGACGAAGTCACTATACTCTTGGGAGATGAAGAGTGTTTGGGAGTTGACGTGAAGAAGACAGTGGCATAACCATTTCCCTTAATAAAAAAGAGGGCACAGGTGAAAAGACCGATTTGCCCTTAAATTATTTTAATAAAATAAGAGTTAACAGTGGGGTTTTAACGGTGTGAGGGATAAGGACCATCTGTCAAAAGTTTTGAAAGCACAGGGACCATCAATTAGGTTTTTAAACCACGGGGTCTAAACTTCAGATTTTAGGAAACCACAGGACCATTTATGATGTTTTTTCAAATAAGTATAACCAAAATCAGGCAATTCAAAATTCTTATGTTGGTTGATGCATTTTCTAATTTCATATCATATTTCACTTGTAAAGCTTTTTAAATCTTTGTAAAAGTTTTAAATGCACCTTCTTATTGATGGAGTGAAACCCAAATCCAACCAACAATTATTTGTAACCTTGCAAAACATAAGATTATAAAAATAAATTAGTGAAATAATCAAAAGTCTCATGATGTTGTAAATACCAAATTGAAGTGATAATCATAGTCGATTGAATAGGGAAGAGGCGAGAAGACAAAAAAAGGCAACTCAATCTGCCATCGAAGCAGGTAAAGGGATTCATGAATTTAGAAGGTAAGGGTATTATTGTCAATTTAGTTATTTTTTCAATTTTCTTGATTTTAAGTTGTAAAAAATGATTATTAAATAATAAAAACTATTTAAAAATAAGATTTGGACAAATCCGATATTTTAAAACATTAAGAATGACAAATAAGATATTTAAAGCTTAGGCCAGACAAATATGATATTTAGACGTTTAATAAGGGTATATATATATATATATATATATATATATATATATATATATATATATATATATATGTGAAATTCTCCCTTTATTATTTAACTAGGATACTAACTATGAAGTGTTGTGGCAACAATAATGGATTTGATAAGTATTAAAAAGTAAGTTGGTACATGTTAAATAGAAACTTAGGAGGCATGAAGTTGGTAAACAGGAGCCAAAGTCATCTCAAACAAAAATATTGAACACAAAGTTAGGAGGCAAATCCATAAAAGTCATGGGCAAATCCATCCGAGCAAAAATAATAAAAAAAAACGTATTATATATGACACATATATAAAAATAAAGAAGTGGATTATCTTTTTAAGTTAACAAATGAAAGTTCAAATAATCAAAAACGTATTTATATGTAACCCAACTCTTACATAGAAAGCATATATAAAAAGTAAACACAAAAAGGAGGCAAGCTCGATTTTATAGTGACACCTACATAATAAAAACAACTTTTTTAAAAAAAAATTAGTGAACGAAAGTTCCAAATATACGTTGAAACGTTGATTACTTCCAATTTATGCCACATATATAAATATAAGCATGTAAGAAAATATATATTTAAAGTTAACGAACGGAAATTATTAAGAAGTATCATATTATAAATATTACCGGGGGTAAACACGAAAGTTTAGCAAGACGAATGATCAAAGTGACATATTAGAAAGCTCAAAGACGATGTAGTCAACGTGAAATTTACAAAATTAAGGTAAACACAGAAATTTTGAAAGTCGACAAGATCAATATGATATTTTATAAAATTCAAAACTGAAAAGATCAAAACCATATTTTAGAAAAGTGAATGATGAAAAATGTCATTTTACGAAGTAGAAGAACATGGGTTGAATAATCATACCAAAGATACTAACTAGCGAAGGCCACTGACTTTGCTATTTAGTATATAGATAATGATAAGTGATTCATACACAGTATTTTTTCTCCGTACACAACAATTTATGTTTATAGAGTTGTACAATACAATATTTTTAAACACAAGTTGTTGCATACAGATAAAAAACATTGTGTATGATTCAGCTCTCATCGATAATAGTGTTTCAATATTTGTTCTTTATTAATTTATTCAACAATTTTTTTTACCAAATTTATACGACCACGTGTCCACCTTCTAAACTAAATGTATGTTTTGACAAAATTAGTTTTTAGCTCGAAGCTAAAAGTTTAAAGCTGGTAGCATGTATCTTTCGTTTCTTGTATGAATTTTTGAGATAATGATAAGTGATTGATACACAATATTTTTTTCTCCGTACACAACAATGTATGTTTGTAGAATTGTACAATACAATATTTTTAAGCACAAGTTGTATATATGATAAAAAATATTGTGTACGATCCAACTTTCATCGATAATAGCGTTTTAATATTTGTTCTTATTAATTTATTCAACAATTATTTTACCAAATTTATACGACCACTTGTCCACATTCTAAACTAAAAGTATGTTTTGACAAATTTAGTTTTCAGCTAAAGCTAAAAGTTTAAAGCCGTAGCATGTATCTTTCATTTCTTGTATGATTTTTTGATAAAAGTAGTCGAAAGTTTTTTAAATATATATAATTACATAAATGGACAATTGTGTGTGTGTGTGTGTATATATATATATATATATATATATATATATATATATATATATATATATATATATATATATATATATATAAATGCAATTTTGGAATTAATAAAACAAAATAGTTTTTAAATACTACATGAAGTAGTTTTTGAATTTGGAGTTTTTTGTTTAAACTAAAAATGAAATATTCGTACTCCCAAACAAAATTTTTTGGTTAAAATCTAGAAGTTAGAAGCTTTCAAACACTCACTCTCAAAACCCCCTAAATTCAATTAAAATGTCGCATGTTTTAGAATGAAACTTGATTGCAATTTTGTTAAGAAAACAACTTTTCTTTTGTCTAAAAGTCTATAGGCAAACACATAACAAGGTTCTTCGTACCATTTTATTTCCATTTTTCTGTTGCAACCTATTTTTTTCAAAAATTTTTGTTTTGAAAAGCCAAAGATATTATAGAACTGTATTTTATAAATTTATTCAATAATAATCATGAATTGTTTTATATTTGGATTACCGACAAACATTTTATATAAGGGTGCTACAATAAAAATAAATAAATATAATATCCTATAATAAACAAATAAATGAAAACAAATTGCTAAAAATACTAAAACATTTGTAGTGTTCTATCTTACAAACCACACAATCTGTTTTTGATTAAACTAAGCACTTAATAAATAAGGTGTTTAACAAAAATAACCAATTTTTTTATGTTTTGCAAAAATAACCACTTTATCATAAATAGTTATTGTGGACTTGTATCTAAAATATGAAGTGGTGCCACTTTCAACAAAATCACTAACATGTAACAAAGACTTCTAAGAAGACAAAACCTACAACTCACATTTTGTCAATTTGGACTTGTTCTTGAAATGATTTTGGACTTCATAATGATCAAGTCTGAAATTATTCTATCAGATTTCAAACTTTTTTATTTAGTAAAAAACAAAGTATTCTAGATTTGTTAGATTTTGGTAACAAATCATTTTGGAACCACTTATTCTATAACACGTCATTCTAGAATACGCAATGCTAGTACGTGATTCTAGACTTAATCATTCCAGAGTAAGATAACTATTGTTTTATGATTGTGGTAAATCCAAGCTTAGTTTCCAATAGTATTATCTATTGATCATTTGGAGAATAAATTAACCAAATGCATTACAATAATATATAAGCAAATACATTGTATGCAACAGAAACAAAAACAACATATAATAATCATTTTGGAAAAACATATAACAACAAAAATAAATAAGGAAGTATCTTCATTTACATATGTCACACCCCCAAACCTGGACGGCGGAAACGTTCGGGGGAGGATGACTTCATGTGGTAGCGTAAGAAGTGAATACATAGTAAAGAAAGCAATACAACAATCATATATATATATATATATATATATATATATATATATATATATATATATATATATATATATATATATATATAATTGAAAGTTTACATTTGTCAAAAGTTACATGTTCAAAATCAATTACAAATATAATGTCAAAATATGAGATTTAAACTGGCGCCGCAGCATCTCTTCATCAAAAGCAATATGATACCTGTAGTTACTGAATCCCTGGGACATACAAGTAATTTTGAAATGGTAGATCAGCATTTAAGCTGACGAGTTTCATAAGTATTTAATGATAATGTTTGTATGAAATGAAATATCTTGTCCTTGTTTGTTTGT